TCTTACCAACCAACACTATGCGTTGTCCAAAGTAGCTGCGGAGCTACTTTATCTGTGCGTTCATTTTAGGGAACGCATAGTGCGCTGTGGCCCTTAAGTGTTGTTTGTGAATTGATTTTACCAGCCCTGTGCGCTCGAGCACACTATGAGATCTCACAGTGTCGTTTGTGAATACGGGCGTAAGACACTTAAGTTACTCTCAATAAAGAAAGAATCCTTGAATATTTATCACTTTGGAGCGAGCGCACAAATTTGACTAAACTATCGCTGTTCACTAAAGTCAAGAACATTTTTAGATTTTCCCTCACGGTGGCTAGTCTTCAGTTATTGAAAAGACTGTAGTCTTTTGGTGGCCAGTATGTTCAAGGAATTTTTACATGTTTTTAGATCTCAAGCCATTAGAAAAAAAGAAGAATTAAAATTATTTAAAATTAGAACACATTGTCGATGTCATCGTTTTTTCTATGTCATTTTCTGTACATGTTTTATCAATACACATGTCTCCGTTAAAAACTGTTTTATTTATGTATAATCGATTTTTAGTTGTGAAACTAAACAGTTGAATTGGCTGAAACAATCGACAATCGCACGGTGTAAAATTTGACTCATGACTTTGTACCAAAATATAAACACTTTTTAAAATTTAGGTGCACAATCTTTAGAATCGTTTTTTTTGTGACTGAATGGCCACTGTTTGCCTTGAAGAGGCATTTACAGATTCACTGGGCTTGAGGTGACCGAGCGCAGATGGCGCTTAGCCTAAACCTCGTTTATGAGTAACTAAGGTCGAGGGCTCCCCCAGGAGCCTCGGCACGAGCCGATACTTCGTTATTATTACCGGATTGGGAGGCCACCGAGCTCTTTTTAAAATCGGCGATGTCTTCTAAACCTATGTAAAACTTCTTAGAGCCAAGGAGGTGTTCTAATTCATCTTGGGAACTGAAAAAATCAGTGTATTTATTTACTAAACATCCATTTTCGATTTGTAAAGTATTCAAAGTATTTTTAAATTCTAGTTTTGCGCTTTTTTATCATACGTTAATCAATTATATTTATCATAACAAGTGGTATGATTCCAACCACGCAGTACATTTTATGCCATTTATTTTATCTCTGCATTGTAGAATATATATTTCCACTTCGATGATAGTTTTATTTACTCACTATTTAGTTTGTGATCGGAACTATTTCAATCTATACTACTATAATAAAGCGTAAACACACACTTCTTTGTTACCTAAGATGTCAGCAATCACAGCAGGTTTTCGAATGGCTCTTTTTTTTAATAAAAAGCCCTACACTTACGGCACGCTTTAGGCTATATGTTTTCACGCCGTTAAACTTAGGGGAAAATATTATGGATAAAAACCTAATGTGGGAAAGAGACCATAAGTTGTTGCTAACATCAAGGAAGCAAGGTTGCCTTGGTTTGCCAAAATGTCATGTCATTTTGACATTTGCAATTGATAATTTGCCAAATGTGAACAATAAAATGATTTTTTTATATATTATATGCGGATGAAGTCGCATGGGTACTAATCAAATATAAGCCGTAAAGTTAAGGACACCTTCAGAGTCTAGCCTTTGCAAGTATGTATGTGTTGCTCAAAAACATGTGAACTCTAATATATTTAATAATTAATTAAAAATTAATGTACCTCATGCAAATAAACTGAAATACTTTATCTTCTTGTGTTAGTATCGGAAGTCCTTATCTCCTTTAATACAGTCGAGTAAGAAATAAATTTATGTGCAACGTATTTGTAAAAAAAATAGAGTATGTAAAGAATTATCTTGATTTTACTTTTACTAACAAATTAAAACGAATTTGTTAAATACCAAATACAGATTAGAGTAATTATACATTTAATTTAATTAAAAATCTCTTCTTGTTATACGTATAAAGTACCTTGGAACTGAAACGTTTATCCGGGCGCGGCCTCCACTGTACCCGCACAGCTCTCCGTGAGGCCACAAAGAACATTACCCAGATTGGATCGCAAACATGCTAATAACAATGCAAGTTCATTTCTATATCAATGTAGAACTAGCTGTCGCTCGCGACTTCGTGTGAAATTAAAAAATCAATAATGTACGTAAGATACGGGTTTCTTACCACGATTGGGTTGTTTTAGCTCTCGATATTTTGGTACGAAGTGATGCGGTAGTGTAAGAAATTGGATACTAAAACAACCCAATCGTGGTGAAACACGTTACGAACTTTATATTTGTAAAATCACGACAGATAAAAAATCTAGCCCATTACTCAGTGATGTAGCTATTTAAAGGTGATTTTTTTAGAAACGGTTACGTAGTTTTTTAGTTATAATACATCAATACAAAAATACAGATCTTTCCTCTTTATAATGTTAACATAGACAGAGGATTCTTTTGTAACACTTGGATTTAAAAATAAGACTTGAGGTCACCCATACTTCTAAATTCAACTACGAATAAAAAAATATGTTTATTTTTGTTTAAAAACAGCTTGTTGCACTATTTCTCCAAATTATATTAAACTGTTTCAAATATTACGTTCATCAATTTGTTCGATTTTCTTAAAGAGGTGAAAATTTTTCGCTTCACGTAATATATAGCAATAAGGGTAAGTACACACTGAGTTTAAGATAAATGATTATTTACACTCGTTTCGAGAATGGAAATTTACGCTTTGATAACGTTAGTACAGCATTTGGCGTAAGATATTTTCTTTATATCGATTCGAAAATAAAAAATAGTAAAACTGGATTATATGTCATAATGTTGCTTATTTCGCCTCAGCACATATCCATGTTTATCGAACCGAACTCAAGGGACTTGATAGAAATTGAACCGACATTTTCTATTAACATTTACACACGTTATTGGTACCTGTGTTTTTATTATTTGTGTTCTATAAATATCTATTATAAAGGTAGAAGTTAACACAACAGCTAACAATACATAGCCATCACCTTTATTAACAACCAAGTAGAGTTAAACATAGTTGTAGAGTGGACATTACAAACATTTTTTAAGCGGTTGCTATCCGACAATCGTCAAAATTTATTACGAATTTGGAATTCAAGAGTGGCCGTATCAAAGCCACTGTAATAAATCTAAGTAACTTTTCAGTATTCAGCCGTTAATCAGACACAGTATTGGTATATTTTCATACGACCGTTAAGTACCCATAAAATGCATATTTTATCTAACCAGAACTGATAAGTTTATACATTTTTAATGCTTTAAAACAACGTTACAGATCAAAGTTAAAAACAAATTTATATTTTATTCCCTAAAGACACTTTGAGGGTAATATGAATAATTTTGAAGTAGTAATAACTCGTTCATAGCAAATTAAAGTGCACACACCAGGGACTAAACCATAAAGCTGTTATCTGTAAAGCGTACAACCGATGCATTTTATCAAGAACTGCTATGAGTGAAGTGGAAATTAGTTTTGAATCTTACTAATATTATAAATGTAAAAGTTTAGATGGATGGATGTTTGTTATAGTTTGTAACCTAAACGGCTGAACGGATTTCGATCAAATTTTGGCATAGATTTTGAGAACTAATATTGGATTATTGGATTACGATAATTTGGAAGAACATATAGGCTAATTAGTTTTGTTTTCTTTTTTAATCTCGCGCGAACGGAGTCGCGGGCGATAGCTAGTATGACATAAGTGGAATGTAGTAAAGACAGACATAAGTGGAATGTAGTAAGTTTCCTTTTTACACAATATGCGATAGTTTGCATGTTTGGATGGTAATTGTTAGAAGGTGTATCTTCTAAACTGCAAAACGAATCTTGATGAAATTAACAATTTCTTCTAATTCCGGACAAAGTCAGGAGCGATAGCTGTTTTTATTTATAAACATAAGATCATAACAGAAAAGCTTCTATTACAAATCTACAATTAATTTAATTATTACAAATCTTAAATTAGTTATTTTTTAGCCCTGACAACTGAATTCACGAAATTTGAGAACGCATTATCTTATACTACCTTTAGTCCGTGACCACGTCTGCGCAGAATAAAAAAAGCAAAGTATGTAGCCTATTTTTAACATTACTAATAATAATGAAGTATGATTACTTTCTTTAGTTACTAAAGTCAAAAAATCAAAACGTCGAAGCATAGCGGAATTCTGTTTGGATTTCAACAACTTCATCAAATTCACGATAACATTACAAGATATATCCGAGAATTTTTTGTACAAAAATTAAGCGAATCCCTCCAGAGAAATTACGTGTCTGATAAAATATTCCGTTTGTTAATTTGTTATGAAATACAGAAACAATGTTTCCCTTTGTTAATTGAATATGGAAAGAATAAGATTATTTTTATGAGTTTTGAATTGGCTTTCAAAGCCTTACTTCTTTTATTAATTTCTCTTTTAGTTAAATGGAAGTTATTTAACAATTATTGCTACGGTCTGTTTCAATCACCTTTCCAATCAAACGAATTACTTCCAATTAGTGAAGTTGGAGGAATAGCTGGTTGGTTTCTTGAACAAGTCACGTTCTATTTATGAGAAACATTTCTCTACAACTTTGTTAGTAATAATCAACAAACGTCCATTAAGAACGACCCGATGTATCTTCTGATACATTTTTACAGTTGTACTCGAATGTGACTGCTTGCGGGCATTGTACTTTTCTAGTAAACTTAGCTCGCAAACATGCACGCATCCCAGTCTTACAAACTATTATAAGAATTATTTGTATAAGAATTGCTTGTAATACCACGATCACACAGAAGACAGGCGTGAAGGGGAAGCAATTCCGCGTTTCGTCTTATGAGTGTGGTGCCGGGGGCCTAATTTTAGTCTCTTTTCCTTTCCACCCTTTTCTTAAGAGGAAAGGACGGAAAGGAAAAGTGGATTTGACGGCGGAGGAGACGCATAGCAAGGGGAAACGTCCTTTTTATGTACGTCTCCTTCTCCGTCAATCAAGGGTAGGGAACGCATCTGCAATTGCGGATCTTTATGGGCAGCGGTCGCTTTCCATTTCGGTGGATTCAGGTGGCCGCTTGCTCGTTTACCGCCTTATATTATTTAAAAAAAATCTAATGAGAACTGGCTCTATTGGAAAATGCAAAGTAATATTAAGCTGTAACAGGAAATTTTTTACCAGAAATGTACAACTTTTTTGACAAAATAATAGAAAGTGAAACGATGTATCGAACGAGTAAAGTTATAATATTTAATGAATAAGAAATAACACGGTATATTTTACTTCTTTTCTCGTAACAATTTGGTATATTTTAAAGGAAAGTAACATTTTGTCCATTAGAATTTTTTGTGGATGATCTGATTGACCTTAAAGTGGTTTGCTTGACTGACGAGTACTGGTCGCAGCGGCGGAGGAAAGACGCATGTTGTTCCCCTGATTCCCTGTAAGATGCACATAAACTTTCTTCAACATAATACGTATGATATTTATATTCTCATTAAAGAATATTAAAGACAGGTGACTGGACGTAAGTAAAGCCATAACATCTAGTTTATAAAACCTCATGCGCCGACAGAAATGGGATGAGGCAGGGAGATAATTTAAAGGAATTTTATTAACAGGTCTTCGTCTTTTTTGATATTTTTACCTTAACTATATAAAAACATATTACTGTAATTTCCTTCTGAGCTTCAATTGTAATACCAGTTCCTACCAGATTAAACATTAAACTATTTCTCTTCATGCTAATTGGAAAGTACTTTTCTTTATATCGTTTGACTCTCCACTTAACATCGTACAAAGCTTGTTAAGAAACAAAACGTCGAATCAAAGTAGTAAATCATACTAATATTATAAATGCGAAAGTTTAGATGGATGGATGGATGTTTGTTAGAGTTTGTAGCCTAAACGGCTGAACGGATTACGATAAAATTTGATTTCTGTGTAGAGGATAGTCTGGAAGAAAACATAGGCTACTCACTTTAGTTTTTTTAATATCACGCGGAAGGAGTCGCGGGCGCAAACTAGTGAAAAATAAAGAACAGTAACAGTATAAAACGCTGAATATGTGAATTGATTCCATACGTGACAGTCTATCGATATCAACAGGACTGAATTAATGTCAAGTCACGAAAATGATTAGTACAACGGGGCTCGGTTGACGTTGGCAGTAAATACGAATTTAATTGAGATGTGGGATATTGATGTCGCGTGTAACGGATGATCAGCAAATTATTGGATTGATTCCTTTTTAATCAGATGTTTAACTTCAAAAGTTTGGCTTAATATAGCAATGTTAACGAAATGCCGTGACACGTGAAACACTGTTTTTATCGTAGATTAAAAAAATAATTTTACAGGAAGACAAAGAAGCAGCGGATCGCCTAATTAATTGACCCAACGTCATGTCAATGGGTGACATACAGAACACTCGAATAATGTAGATAAAAACAAAAGAGGGAACGGGATAATGCCATTGCCACCTAGTATCAGATAAAATTGTAATCAGAGTTAAAAATATATATATATATATATATATA